AATGCAGAATCTAGCTACAGAGTAGAAATGCAGAAGGAAGGTGGGTTTCTGGTTTTGGTCACCTACCTGGATGTTGATGCACTGTTCCTCCAAGCAGGGAAACAACAAATACCATATAAGCTTGATGAATATATTTTCCTGAGCTTTATTTTGGCCACATGATCATTTTCCTAAGGCCTTGGTGGTACTTTGGTTTCTGGATGAAAAGATTCTCGGCTGCTTTTTCTCCTTTCACAGAGTAGGAAAGGAGGTGACTCGGTTGTGATTTCATTTACCCCAATAAATGTCCCGGTACTTATCATTTCTGTGGGAACATACAGTGAGAATATCAGTCATTAAAACAGCACTCAATCTTTTAGATGTTTTTATAACTCTGGCAGGGAAATCAAGGTTGTTTTGCCAAGTCATTTACTTTCATTGTCTAATCAATTTCTAAAGCCTCTTGCCTGTTTGCTTCTTTGTTTAATTAACCCTTCTTTTCAGCCTTATCCTACCCCAGTCATTATCCCAAACTTGAGAAACAAGGATCAGCTGATAGTGCCTCTTCAGCAGTCACAGGAAACTGAATTCCAGGAGCCCTGACTGGAGGTGATTTATATTCCTAAAGAATAATCTTCCATCACTGTCCGAAGCTGACAATGTCACCGGGAAGCAGGCAGCTCTTCTCCTTCGCTCCCTTGACCTTCCCCCTCCTCTCCCCCCCCCCTGCTTCCACTGAATAGGCTTATTCCCTGCCAACTTAAAAAATACATATTATTTTTAAAAGATCCCTTTCAGGCTAATATTACTTATCATCTTTTACTCACCTGCCACAGCTAATCAAGGAGAAAAATCATCTTAGTACCCCTTTTCACAAGTGTAAGAGGATGTCTTAATGAATGCTTTCCTTTCTTGGTTTTGATCCTTAAACATACTTTACCGTTGTCAGCTCTTTATGGCTTCTGTCTGCCAAACATGGGCCTAAGTGGTAAAATCCATACTTGAGAGTTTGCAGATGCTTTTAGGTGTCATTAAGGATCATTAATATGCAGAGCAACGCCACATGACAGAGGCTGCTAGGGTAGGAAAGGAGATCCATCATCTGTTGCTAGAGCTGCAGGACAACTTTTAGGTCAGCAGAAGTCACTTACCGGGACTGGATCTCGGCAAGGATTTCTCATTAGTATACAGAGGGAGTGTGGGGGTGGGATGGGGATGGAAGAAGGCAAACCTGAGTTTGTTTGGGGTTCCTCCCATCCTTGTACCGCAGTGTTGATTTGGAGCATCTTTTGAATCCCGTAGCTCTTGCAGTCACTCTGATGTCTCCTAACTACAGAAAGACTATGCCTGAACTTGATAGTTTGGACTACATTTGTATAAATTGAATTAATATCCAGTTTCAGGCTATCTACTGCCTGCTTCCACAGGCCAAAGATTTTTTCCTTCCTTCCTGGCTTCTTGATTGGTGTCTTAATTTCTGCCTTCCAAGGCTTTTCCTGGCTTTGCTTGTTTGTTTGCCACCAGAGATTGATTTCTACACCCACCCACCTACCCTGAGGCAGGTGGTTGCATGGGGAGTGCTTGCGCCTATTCACGGCAGTACTGATGCATTCAGGGAATTTTGCTGCCGGATAGAGTTGGCAGCGACTGCTGCTCACTGCCCCACACCCGTGCATGGCAGCCAGTTCTGTGCTCACCCTCCTGGGATGAGACGGGAATTTGAACCCAACAAAATCTCTTTTTATTGGAAAGAAATTGGATGCTGTGGCTGCTGCCTGCCATGTTTCCCTTTTGCTTTTAATGGCGCATCATGGTTTGTTAAGGCTTTCCATCTTCTGCAGTACAGGCCCAGTTTTTTGTTGGACAAGCGCTTTGTGTCTTGCAGCGTGTGCTGTCTGGGGGTGCCTGTGATGAAAGCTCTGCTGCCCATTTACCTGTGGCTATAGGACGCTTGCTTGATAGCCAGCGTGAGCTTTCTGCCTTTCTTACCTTACACTGAAAGGTGTGGGAGCATCGGGGCTTGGGGTGGCAGGGAGCAAGAGTGTTTCCTGCGGTCTGTCGTGGATTGGCAAGGAAGGGAGACCGGCTGAACAAGGAATTGTGTATCTCCTCTTTATTTACTTAATGACTTCTTCTCCACCTTGGAAAGTTCAAAAGATTGTTCTATGTGCTGGTTTCTGATACCGAGCAAGCTGGAAATGTTAGTGGTTATGTTAATGTTGCTCACAGTGTTCACTTCAGAAAAATAAAAATGGTTTTAATGTACTTGGCATGGGAGCTTTGATTTGAAGTGAATGCTGTCAACCATATTAAAAAGATGATAAACTACATTGAAAAATGTGTGTTTATTTCTAGTCGCAGCACTGGGATTATGCTACGAATAGCATAAAAGCAGAATCATTTGAAATGCAGGTGTTTGCCCCTCCTGGCTCTTACCATGCCGTGCCACACTGCTGTTTGCATATGTAGTCCCGTGGTTGCTTTTGGCTGGGGGTAAAGCCAGCCCTGTGTGCCGTGGCTCCTGCTTACGTGGGGCGCTGGCATGGGTGGTGGCAAGGGTTGCCGTGTTATCCCGTGTGGCCTTTCCCCGGGCTCCTGGCTCTCCACTGTGCCGTGGGGGGCTCCCCAGGCATCTTGGGCATGTGAGCCCCCCTTGGCATTGCCGTGTTGAATTCAGCTTTGCACTGGTGGTGGCAGAAGCCCTGCCTCCAGGCAGAAGGATGCCTATGAGAGGGCTGCACCTGGGGCTACTGGGTGCTCCTCTGGAGTCCTGCTTTTTGGGCTGTTTTTGCGTGTTGCTGGTTGCTGTACGTGCTCATTAAAAGCAATGGGAATTCATAGGTAAAAGGGAAGATAGAAAATGTAACCCAGAGTAAGCTCTAATAGATTTGCAGATGAAAACCAACTTGACATACTTCTGTATTCGAGATTTATAATCGAATCATTTCTTCACTTGCACAGCAGGGACTGAAACAGCATGTAGTTATTTACATATAGGGAACATTAAACAGCCACCTCTTTAAACCATATGTGAACATAAAATCTAACAACCACTGCTGAGTAATGGGTATCTGCAAAAGATGAGAATAAAAATAAAGCAGAAGCAAACATAATGAAAAGGTATTATTGCAAGAAGTAGCTGTGACAGTGGCATATTATATCCCTATACTGAAGTGAAAATGTGACCCTATAAATCTGTATCCTCTTGAATTAACACTATACACATTGAACACATGCAGACTGTTTGCTTTGTATTCCCCTCTAGTTTGTAGTGAGCTGATGGGGGCTTTGCGATGCCTTACTGCTTTGCCATAAGGAACTAGAGGATGGCATGCCACGTCGATCCAGACTGCTTTGGACTTGTCATTGCTCCTTTGGGGGGCAGTTGTGATGCCCCAGAAACCTGAAACCTTTCAATTTACTGTCAGGTAACTTTGGGGCTGGCTTGGTTGCTCAGTGTACTAACCTTGCAGCCAGTGTAATGCCTGCCTGTCCTTTGAGATGCAGTGCCAGGTAGGTGGCTCCCGAAATGGCACTGGTCCTGCAGGGATTAGGATTAATTTGTCTAGGTGCTGAGACACACTCTGTGACTGTATTGCCAGGGCTGTGACGCAGCCTGCGGTGCCAGCACAGGCACCTTGGCTTTGCCGTAGTTACTGTGGATACCTGACAGCTCCCATGGCTGTTGCCAGGCTGCTGCAATGTAAGGGTATGTGCTTCGGATGTTTGAGCTTTGAGATTGGCAAAGGGATTTGGGGCTGTTAGTGGTTTTTCCTTCCTCTTTTGGGAGAAAAAAAAATGTATGGAGGGGCATCCTCCTTGGAGAAATTACTGCACTCTGTGTAGTATGACATAACCACATGTAGAGGCTTTCCCTAAAATACTAAAATGTTTATAATACTAAAATGTTTATGGATTCTTTCCATTGGTTGCTTTGTTTCTTGAAATATGCTGCCTACTCTCCTGTCCTTTTCCATTTCCAGTACTAATTACAAACAGGAATTTGAAAATAATTCCTTGATAAAGGGTAGGCATCCCTAAATGGGTGCAACTGCATCCTGCAGAAGCTGTGCTTATCCCATAGGCATGTTTTGATGGTAGGCCTAGATACTGGGGTCTCAGCATGAAGGTTAGATACTGAGAGCTGTTAATTGGAAGTGAGAAATGTATTCCCCCTGATAAACGCACACCTGAACCTTCTCATTGCTGGAGTCCTCTGCAGTACTGGTGGTGGTGAGCCTGTGAAGAGTAACTTTTGTTGGATTTTGGGATAAAAGGAGAAGCTGATTTCTGTCATATGGGGGGGAATAAGGCAGTGAGTTTCTATCGCAGAACTGAAATGCTGTTTCCTACCACTAAACCACTGTTTCTACAGCACTTTAATAAAATGCTGTCCTTCCCATCTGTCTCATCTTTTCTCCTCTTGCATTCAGGCAATGAAAAATGGAGACGGTGATAGGCTTAAGAAATTTTTTGTTCTTAACTCCCCAGTGTTTGTAACTAGGACCATGGAAATCTCAACTGTATTTTAATTTGGTTAGTCAAAGTATAATTAGCACGAATGAGGTAAGAAACTAATTTAAGCACAGCAAGTGTAGTGGAGAATCCAATTTTCAGAAATCAGTGGAAATATAATTAGAGTCATTAAGTGCTGACTTCGGTAATTAAGAGTCAGTTTTTGACGTTTCAGGCTTGTGTTGCTAATTGTCCGTGGAGAGGGGAGAAAAATATTTTGTTTACTGCAAAATTGGTCGCTTTCTAGATCTGCGTAACTGGCAGCATGAACGCTGCCCGGCAGCTTGGGCGAACCCACAGCCTTTGAGATTTGCTTGCTCGAGTCCCGGGCTCCTCGTCCCTCCTTGCCTGCTGCTGCCCGCAGCGGGGGACCTGCGGGAGCATGTTTTGGGGCTGCCCTGCATGCTGGGTCCCGTGCTCCCTGCTGTGTGGGAGGCTGGCCTTGGCTCTACTGCTATGGGGCAGCCCCTCACGCTGGGGCATGGAGGAGCCCCCGGGGACCGTACCGTATGCTGAGGATCCATTGGGGTGGAGAAACCTGTCTGCGTCTGGGCAGGCATGGCCTTCTGCTGCTCCATGTCTGGCATCAGCTGGGGATGGTAATTTGGCTGCCCCCGGGTCTTCTCTGGTCTAGGGGAGCCACTGGGTGCTCCAGTGTAGGAGTTGGACCAGTGCAGGAGTGGCTCTGTCTCAAAACAGGGGCTTGGCCGTGCTCAGCGAAGGATTTGGTAGCATGGCAAACAGCTACCAAGGGGCAGTACATCACTGATAAATGATGCTGTGCAGTGTCGTGTCACAGAATACATAGCAGAAGCGGGTTCTTCATGCTAATATCCAGGAGAAGCCTTTTTCTAAGCCGGAGATGGATGCATAAATAGCTCCTTAACCCATCTTGCTCTCAAACTTTGATCTTGGATTGCAGGTCTGATAAAATAACTGCGTCTCTGCAGACTTAAAGTGCTGTTGAAGTTATTCATAAAAGAAATCAGTGGTAGAAGTGCATCCGCAACGCTTCTTGTTTGCAAAATTATCTCTAAGCAGTCGGGATGTTACACATTTTTAACTCCTGCAGTTCAACCAAGATGCTTAGCATGCTTTTGTTATGATAATAGAGAAACCATAAAAAAACCTGACGTGCTGATAGTTATCATCATATAAAACAAGCCTTATGTATACTTTCATATTAAAAATGCTAATTTTCCAGAGCAATGGCATTTATAAGGCTTTTTTTCTTTCATTTTGTTGTTTTCCAAAACCCCAGATAATGCCCTTGTTTGGGCCTCTAGCATGGAAGCTGATGTGATAGTTTTCTGCTTTTGAGCTTTCACACTCACAAACAAATCCATTGGTGGCTGAGATCTCTTGCTCTGTGTTTGCGTTTGCAATTATCTTATGGCCCAGCAGAAACCAGCTCTCAGCTAGTAAGTTGCTTAAAATGTGTTTTTAAAACTTTGGCCGGGCTCATTTCTTAAGTGTGTGAAAACAACTGGCAGTTTAAACACTTGTTTTAACCAGAAATCCCCTTATTTTGTAGTTGAAGTGCTTTTCACTGTGCCCTGCAAAATTGTGCTTCCCTTCTCTTCCCAGGGGATCTGGCCTTTAAAGCTGAACGGGTAGTTTCTGGTGTACTTGTTCAGGTTTGTGCTAGATGTGGGGCATTCTCTGAAAAGCACAGGATACTTTTTGGGGTTGGGCAGCTGGCGATGGGCACCCTGAGGCAGCGCTCACGGAAGCAGCCTCTGCCTCCCAGCCATGTTCAGGAGAAATAATCTTGGTGTCGCTCCCCTCTCCCTTTGCAGCCACTTGGTTTTCTGGATAACGCACTCAGAATACCTGGCAATGGCTGAACTAAAGCCAGAGAAGCACTTTAAATCATTAGAACAGGTTGGGAGAAATCATGCCAAGCTTTACCGACCAGGCTGGCTAGAAAGGACCGTCTCTTCACTGCCTGGTCTTCTATATACCCAGCGAGCAGCTCTTGGGTTTGGTGATGGGAGGTTTCCAGGCTGGGGTGGGAGTTGGCCTTTCCGTAGGTTGTTGTGTCCCTCTCCCAGACACTGGGCACCCAGCTAAGCTCCTGCTCGCAGCTGCAGATTAGAGGAGTAATGAGGATACGCTTTGCTTTAGGCATAATTTCTTTCCTGTTACTTTTCCCTTCCCCATTTCCATTTGTTTTATTTCTTTAGACAGCCTCTGTTGCTGCTTAATTGGATTACTAGGTCACTTATCGACTGACTGTGGGCCATACAGAACTGGGGCCGGTCCCTGAGGCTTGTTTTGGGGTGCAGTTTGGGCTGCTGGGGGCTGGCAGCCTGCAAAGCCACTCCAGTCCCATGGGGCTTCAGTGGAAAATGGCATTTCCCGCTGAACCCTGCAGTGGCTCCATGAAAGAATGTATCTGTTCCTTCGTTTCACCTAGCTTTTTAGCTTTAGGGAGGAAAAATTTTAAAATTCTTTGTTTTAAAATGTTCAGTGCATAGCCTCCAAGTAGGACTGGCCGTCTTCTGGGAAACCTTCAATGCAGTTCAGATGTTTGCATACTAGAGATGAACAGCACTTACTTAAAAAGTGTGCTCTGTATCTTAAACAAAACACCTCCTTGCAGTTTCCATGGTAAGCTCTCCTTCATAATTGAATAACAGTCATAAATGGTTACATAAAACACAAGCAAAACGCTGCACCGTAGCTGAAGGCTGCACTTGTCAGCTCTGTGTTTGCTCTTTGTGCAGGGGAGCGTGCCAGTACCTGACGGCGAGGCTCGACGTGGGGCGCAGACATTTGGTGCATCAGCCCTGTACCCCCGATTGCCGGAACCCAGCTCTCTGGAGAGGCTGCTTGTCTTTGTCCCAGAGCCATTGTGCAACTCGTCTCCAGACCCTTCTGCTAAGGAGAAGGCAGGTGGAGGAACCATGAAAGCCAAGATCTGTTAATGGGACTACACAGAGAAAAACTCAGACCCTCTGCTTTCAAGGTATCTCTCTGCAGATAGTATTGTCAAACTGTCTCTTTCCAGAGCTACTATATTTACCTAGAAGCTATTAGTCCTTTGAAAAATAAGAGATCCTGCCAAGGTGAGTACAAATGATGTGTCAGACCACGTTTTTAAAACTTCATTTTTTTTTTCTTTTTTTTTTCTTTTTTCTTCAGTGACTGAGGTGTTTTCAAGAAAGAAAAAAATAAAGCTTTGCTGCTTCTGGGACAAGAGATTCTGTGCTGTTCTACCCTTAGGTTTTTACAGTTTAAGTGTGTGGGTGTCCGCTGTGTTGTCCATCACTCCCACCCCCCCATTTCTGTGCCTTTTTAATTATGAGGATTTGAGTCTTGCTTGCCTAAAATTTGTCACATGGACCCAGCAACTGTTTAAAAAAAAAAAAAAAACCAAACAAAAAAACCAAAAAAAAACCCCAAAAAAACAAAAAAACAAAACAAACCCCAACACCCCAAAACAAAAAACCAACCAAAAAAACCAAAACCAAACAAAAAAAAAATCAACCTTGGAAAACCCCAGGGGTATGAAGTAGACCTCAAGGTTTTGATGCCTGAAGCTTGGCAATGCTGTATTCTCACTGGTGGAGCTCCTTGCGAGGAGGAGGTTTCTCTTCCCAGGCAAGAGGATGCTCATCTCTTGCGCCTGGTGTGTGCATTGCTGAACCCTGCTGCGGGCTGTTCTGCCTGCAGCCTGCTCTCCTGCCTGGTGTTGGGTCCCTGTCAGTGGCAATCCTGGAAACATGCCGATGGGTTTCCCAGCCAGAGGCAGAGATCCCAGGGGTACAGCTGTAGACTGGGGGGATAGGGCAGAGCTGTCAGAATCAACCGGGTGCATGGTATGCAACTAGCCATGTGTGTAGTGCCCTTGGGTCTGCTTCCTTGACCCTGTCACTGTGTGGCACGCTGGCCCCCCGAAATCCCTGCCTGTGGGCCATGTGGTGGTGGGGATGGATGCTGCGTTCTGGGTTTATCGCTGCCAGCAGTGCTGCACTTGCCGACAGGTGATGCTGAAGCGTGCCCTGTGTCCATGTGCCTTTCATGTTGGACTGGAAGTGTGTCCAGGGGCATTATGTCACCTTGAAAAGACTGCATGTGACAGCTTACTTGTGGATGCTGTTTTGCTGCTTCTCCCTCTCCGTAGCATCGCTGATTTGCAGGCAGTGGCAGCTCCTCCAGCCCTCTGCTCTCGGCACTTCACGATTGCCGCACATATGGCGTGTGAAATTACCCGGCATTCGGCAGCCCGTGTGGCAGCGGCAGCTAGTAGCAGAGTGGCAGACCGAACTCTGAATTTTCCCTTCTCTGGAGGGAGGGGGCGAGAGTTTTTGTTCTTTTGTTCATCTGAGTCTGTATCGCAGAGAGCGTTGGAAATAAGCCCGCTGCCTGCGCGCGGACGGGACAGCAAGGGATGCAGGGGAGTTGACAACAAAGCCATAGTCTTACTTCGCTCCATCAGGGAGCAAGATATGGTGGGTTTTCCTACTTTCTGCTTCGGCAACAGGTCTATATTGCTGCTGTGCTGTTGGGTTTGAACTGAGAATCTCGGCGGGAAGCCTGCAATGCCGGTGTCTCTGTGCGCTGAGTCTCTGTGCTTTGGGCCAGTGGTGAGCTTGCCCTCTGACGGAGAATTTGCGATTTTCCTGTGGCTGTCACTGGCCCCTGCGCCCATTCAAGTGGGTATGTTCAGGCCCACTCCTGTACTCCGGTAAGGCGAAGGTGGCTCTTGATGGTCCCTACTTGTGGCACCAGGGGCTGGGTGAGGAGAGGGTGCGAAGCAAGAGGTTTGCAGCTTGGAGTCCCTGTGTAAGCTCTTACCCCCTCTTTTTGGGGAGGGAAGAAGTGGAGGGAAGTGGAGGAAGGAGGATGGATGGTGTTGCCTCCAGCCATCTTGTGATCGTTGTGGTCCCTCTGCAGTGCTGCATGCCCCTGGGCGAGCCTCCCCCTTCAGCAGAGAGGGTCACTGGGGCTGTCTGGGGGCTCTGGAGGATGTCACTGTGTTTCCTGGCATTTTCTGCGCAGCCTGAAAGCGTGGAGGCCTTGTTTGTTTCTGATGAAAGCTGAATCCCTGCTGAAAAAGGAGCATCCTCTGAGGATGCTCCTGGCCCTGGACATGTCTGAGAGGGCCTGCTTTCTCCCCCCTCCTTTTGTGGTTTTTCCCTCGGGTTTTTGCTAACTGCAAAGCTGCTAATGTAAAATGAAGGCATGGAAATTTCATATTGTAGCAATTAATCAGCCCTCCCTAATACTTTCCAGTTGTAAATTGCCAGCACTAACAGATGCATGCTATTGCGGCCGAGCAGCTGATGCTGCCAGGAGCCGATGGTGGTTTACGTTTGGTTGGTTACCATGTCCTGGGAAGCCATAGCGCAACCTGCCCAAGTATAGTGCTCTGATTAGTTTAACAGAAAGTTTCCAGTTATTAGTTAAATGTGTTTTTACTACTTTTTTTTTTTTTTTTCCCCTCCTGTACTTAAGCAAAACTAAAATAGAAGAGGTGTTACATTGTCACAGGACAGCCAGTGCAAGTTTCTAGGCTTTGGCTCGGTCCCTGCAGCGCGTGAGAGCTGGGTAGTAAATTCCTGTTTGATTT